AATTAGTAGTCTTACTATGCATGCAGTATAAGTCATTGAGCCCTGGAGCAAGGCGCAAAAAAAAGATTCTGGAACTGTCACACTGTAGCCTGTTGGACCATCAAAGGGCTGTGTGAAAAGTTCTGCTCCTGGGAATATGATGGTTAGTTGCATTTGTATAAATAGATGTTGCTTGGGGACAGGGTTTGACCTGAACTTTTGAGATCTGACCTCTCCTGAATGTGGCTGTTAGTGTATTCTGTGGTCAGAGAACAAGGCTAAAATTATTGTTCACAAATAACTGTGTCTAAGTAAGGACTTGCCTATTACTATTGTTGACCGCAGGAAAGTGACTCAGATGGACAAGATATTGCATGACTTAAATTTCTGCATAAGAGCCAGAAGATGCATCCATTAGCTTTCATTAGACACATATCTTACTCTTTCTTTCTGTGTAGTAGTGGCCATGCTTTCCTAAACAGCTTGCAAATTAGTGTTTTAAAGTTTACCTTTTCTTGAAGAAGAAAACCATATTCTGTGCCAACCCAGTTCTCAGTGGAAAGGGGTTAACTGTTAGCTCTAAATACCTAATTTTCTTTACCAGAAAAGAGATACTATCACAGATGCATCATTCTGCAGTTTTAGATTTTTCATCCTCGTGTTTTTCCTGTTGCTTTCTACAAGCCTGGTCATCTTAATTTGAAAACTAAAAGAGGCTAAGTTGTCATCAGATCTTTAGAACAGCTACTTGCTTAGATATGTTGGGCATGGGAAACTTCTTCTGTTGTATGCAGAGGGGAGCTTGCAGTCTGTTTAAACTCCTGAATACTGAAACAACTGAATACTGTTGAAAACCAGGCAGCTGGCATATGAATTACTAGACCTTAGTATGCAAAATCATTTATTCCTCCTGTTCCAAAAGAGCCTATCTCCTGGCTTTAGAACTCTTAGTTACTACTTTGAATATAATTCTTTCCTTTTCTGGACTAAATATGTTACAATTGAAACATGAGGTTCTGATGAATACGATGATGTTGGAATTAGGTGCCTTTTGTTGCAAGTCTTTTGTAGACTGAAACTTTTGCCACTAATTTCTAATCTAGGGTTCTTTCTTTCTGCTAACCTTAACTTTTATAGGAAAACCGGTGGCCTACATGCCTTATGCTGACGTCAAGCGAGCAATAGAACAGGAAGTACAGGTGCAAAATACAGCAGCAAGGTCAGCATCACCATACAGGCTATCTCCAAGGGAAGTCAATAAAGCCTCTCCCCAACCTGATATGAATGCAGCTCGCTACAGTGTTCCACCAGGTAAACACTTTGTTATGTATCACTGTGATTAGTAACCTGCCTTTGGAGGCTGAACTTTTGTGTCCTCGTGTAGTATAGAATTACTTTCTAAATGCTTTGGGCACTAATGAGAGAAAGAAATAGTTTGTTTTCTGTGTGTGCATGCAACTTGACTAGTAGAGATGAAACACTGTAATGTTTAATACACTTTTTTTTTCCTCCAAGTTCTCCAGCCAGCTCCTCACCAAGTAATAACCAATATACCCGAAGGAGTCCGCCTTCCAACAACCAGACCCACCAGACCACCACCCCCACTCATTCCATCCTCCAAAACAAGTGTGCCATCAGAAAAACCTTCCTTCATCATGGGAGGCTCAATCTCACAAGTAAGATCATATATATACTCTTAGAAAATTTGCATTTTTATCAATCTTCTGCACTTTCATCAGCCTTCAACCATGTACTTTTTGCTGTGTTTACAATATTAGCATCTTCAGAGCTATACGTGCCTCTTCTCAGAAGTCCAGGAAATGATAGGTGTCTTATAAAAGAGAACAGGTTGCAGTCATTTACCTTTGCTGACAAGATTGGGGATGTTCAGTTTAGATAAACTGTATCTCTGAACTAACAGTGAGTCTAGACTTATATTCTCTGTTCTCCGCAGTGGTGCTACTGTAGCTTTTTAACATAAGATCGTAGTAGATTTGTTGGTCTGCTTTTAAACATGCATATAAATCTTCATTCCGGAAAGTTTTAACATAATACCCTTGTTTCAGGGAACACCAGGCACTTATTTAACATCCCATAGTCAAGCTTCCTACACCCAAGAAACAGCAAAGCCATCAGTGGGTTCTATATCGCTTGGACTGCCCAGGCAGCAGGAGTCGGCCAAATCTGGTAAGAAATAAAAAGTTGACATGAACATTTTATATAGACTACCTAATGATTCAT